CTCAGCCACAGGTGATTCCCACTGGGACACAGCCATCACAGTCCCACCTTCCCCAGTTCCTTCCCCTGCCTAAGGTTTAGTTTCTTCCATTAGTGGTAGCTTTCATCTCTGGTCCAGGTCTGTCTTGAGGATGGTCTTGCTCCTTCCTTCCTTCCTTCCTTCCTTCCTTTCCTTCCTTCCTTCCTTCCTTCCTTCCTTCCTTCCTTCCTTCCTTCCTTCCTTCCTTCCTTCCTTCCTTCCTTCCTTCCTTCCTTTCTTCCTTCCTAGAAGCAGGGTTCTTGAAAGGAGGAGGAGTGGAACCTGCCTGGAAGCGTTAAAGGGCCAGGCCCTGAGGAACCTGGATGTGAAAGGGAGAATAGCCTCCTTGGGCAGGTTTCTGTTGGAAGGAAAGGGAAAGGACCCTTTAGAAAAGATTGACCATTTTCTAGAAGGCTGAATGAAAAGGTCTGGGAAGTCTGGGAAGGAGAGAAAGGTGAACAAGTATTTATTGTCTCCCCAGTGCCAGGCATTGTACTGGGCATGGAGGATCCCCCTGGGAATAAGCAGACAGGTCCCTGCCAAGTGCCTGTGTCCTCCTTCGGGTCTGGGCACCCTCTGAGGGCAGGGACTACGGCTCCATGAGCTGCTTTCCCACCGCGCCAGAACTAGGATGCACACAAAGGGTACTCAGAAATCACCTGCTGCACTGACATAATGATGCCCCTTCTCATTTACTGGGACCAAGCACCGCGGCAGCCTGCATCACCTAAATGTCAATGCCACGCTCCAGCAGTGGGCTCGGGTGCGCTTGAGGGCGCTGGTGTGTGAGAGCACATGGACTGTGTTCTCAAGCTGAGTGCTGTGCCTGTTACTGCCTCCCCGCCCTCCCATCTCCTTTTCTGTCTTGCACCCTTGCCCTCCTAGACACCATCAGGAAGATGAAGAATGATTTCCGGAAGATGGAGGACGAGATGGACCGGCTGGCCACCAACATGGCCGTGATCACAGACTTTAGCGCGCGAATCAGCGCCACACTGCAGGACCGCCATGAGCGCATTACCAAGCTGGCAGGTGGGCCCTGCCCCAGAGAAGGTGCTAAAGTGGGCCACTCTAAGGGCTTTGGGGCTAACATCACTTGCCCTCATCCCCAGGGGTCCACGCTTTGCTGCGGAAGCTGCAGTTCCTCTTCGAGCTGCCCTCACGCCTCACCAAGTGCGTGGAGCTAGGCGCCTACGGGCAGGCGGTGCGCTACCAGGGCCGCGCACGGGCCGTGCTGCAGCAGTACCAGCACCTGCCCTCGTTCCGTGCCATCCAGGATGATTGCCAGGTCATCACAGCTCGTCTGGCCCAGCAGCTACGACAGCGCTTCAGGTGTGGCCCCTGGGCCCTCATCCTGCCCCTGCCCAGCACGTTCCCGGCTCCCCCAGCCTCACCCCGGATTCTGTCTTCCTGCACTTCCCCACCATCTTCCTCCTGGCAGGGAGGGCGGCTCTGGCGCTCCTGAGCAGGCCGAGTGCGTGGAGCTGCTGCTGGCCCTGGGTGAGCCTGCGGAGGAGCTGTGTGAGGAGTTCCTGGCACACGCCCGAGGGCGGCTGGAGGAAGAGCTGAGAAACCTGGAGGCGGAGCTGGGGCCCTCCCCTCCGGCCCCAGATGTGTTGGAATTCACTGACCACGGAGGCAGCGGCTTCGTTGGTGGCCTCTGCCAGGTGGCCGTAGCCTATCAGGAACTGTTTGCAGCCCAGGGCCCAGCAGGTGCCGAGAAGCTGGCAGCCTTTGCCCGGGAGCTGGGCGGCCGCTACTTTGCCCTGGTAGAGAGGCGGCTGGCGCAGGAGCAGGGTGGCGGTGACAACTCACTGCTGGTGCGGGCACTGGATCGCTTCCACCGGCGTCTACAGGCACCTGGGGCCCTGCTGGCCACTGCTGGGCTGGCTGAGGCTGCCACAGAGATCGTGGAGCGAGTGGCCCGCGAGCGCCTGGGCCACCACTTGCAGGGCCTGCGGGCAGCCTTCCTGGACTGCCTGACCGACGTGCGGCAGGCACTGGCCGCACCTCGCCTGGCTGGGAAGGAAGGCCCTGGCCTGGCCGAGTTGCTGGCCAATGTGGCCAGCTCCGTCCTGAGCCACATCAAGGCCTCACTGGCTGCTGTACACCTCTTCACCGCCAAAGAGGTGTCTTTCTCCAACAAGCCCTACTTCCGGGTAGGCCTGCCCCTCAATGTTGGTTTTTTTTTTTTCCTTTTCTTTTTTTCTGGGCATTATTTTATTCATTCTGCAGCTTGGCAGCGACCAGGGCACACAGTTGTTTCCCCCAAACACTCTGGATGTGGTTTCAGGCTGTCATGAGGAAGACTGGCACAGCCTGAAGGAGTGGGGAGGGCTCCGAGGGCAGCTGTGGGCAGGGTCCCCCGTGCTGGTCCCTTCTCTAAACAGGGTTGCTGCTCTGGGGTACTGGACTGCAGGAGGGAGCTGTCCCTTGGAGAGGGGCCAGGGCATTTAGGGTTCGAGCAGAGTGTCACTAGCAGCCCCTGCCAGGAACAAGGAACCTGTGTATATCTGGGCCCTTCCTCCGCACAGGGCGAGTTCTGCAGCCAGGGTGTCCGTGAGGGCCTCATCGTGGGTTTCATCAGGTCCATGTGTCAGACGGCTCAGAGTTTCTGTGACAGCCCTGGGGAGAAGGGCGGTGCCACGCCACCTGCCCTGCTCCTGCTCCTCTCCCGCCTCTGCCTGGACTATGAGACAGCCACCATCTCCTACATTCTCACTCTCACTGATGAACAGTTTCTGGTGCAGGTGAACTGCCAGCTCATAGCAGGGTAGGGGGTGGGGGTGCTGGGAATGCAGGAGGCTAGGCAGCGCCCTCATGGTCAGACCCAGGCCAGCTGCCTGTGCCCCACTCAGCCTCCCCCTTGCCCAGCCTGTGCCCCTGAGCTTCCCCCAGTACCCACTGCCTGTCTGTCCTCTGCATCCCTGGCTTAGGACCAGTCTCCAGTGACGCCCGTGAGCACGCTGTGTGCAGAGGCCAGGGAGACAGCACGGCGGCTGTTGACCCACTACGTGAAGGTGCAGGGCCTGGTCATATCCCAGATGCTGCGCAAAAGTGTGGAGACACGGGACTGGCTCAGTACCCTGGAGCCCCGGAACGTCCGTGCGGTCATGAAGCGGGTGGTGGAGGACACGACGGCTATCGATGTGCAGGTGCCGGCCAGGGAGCCCTGCTGCCCACGGGGGCTGGGGAGGCAGCCTCTGAGGGCCAAGCCTGCAGGGCCCAGGCTGTGCCCGCACCCGTGGCCTCGTTCCTCCTCAGCCAGACTGTGGCATCTTTGCCCCCATTTCACTTATGAGAATGGAGGCCCAGGGTCACCCAGAAAACCAGGGCCTCAGTATCAACTGTTCATGTCCCACCTTTGCCCCACTCCACTAGTTCTGTGGAGTGACCAGGGGCTCACCAGGTAAACCAAACCTGTGACTCCTGTAGCAAATGAGCGTGTAACGGGGCATCCTTGGCCCTTGCCCAGAGCACGTGGCAGGCTGGGGGTCCCCTGTGCTCTGGTCTCCTTGCAGTGTCTCCTTCCATCTTCAGGTGGGGCTCCTGTACGAAGAGGGTGTTCGCAAGGCCCAGAGCAGCGACTCCAGCAAAAGGACCTTCTCAGTGTACAGCAGCTCTAGGCAGCAGGGCCGCTATGCTCCCAGCTATACACCCAGGTCTGCCGGCCAGGTGGTCCCTGGGGGAACGGACAAAAGAGAACAGGGGTGCAGGGTGGGCTCTGAATGCTTGTCTCCCCCCCCCCCCCCCATCCAGTGCCCCGATGGACACCAACCTCTTGAGCAACATCCAGAAGCTGTTCTCTGAACGTATTGACGTGTTCAGCCCTGTTGAGTTCAACAAGGTCCGAAGTCCCCGGTGACCCCCCTGCCTTAGGCCTGGGGGAGGTTGGCCAAAGCAGCTCCTCACTGGTGCAGGCAGCCCTAGAGCTCTGCTTCCCCTCCGCCCAGTCCCTATCTGTGAAGGGTACTTCTAGGAGTGAGTGGTTGACCAGAGCCCCACCATTACCATCCCATGGCCCTCTGCCCTGACCTTGGTGTGCTCCCAGCCTGGGTCTGGGTGCCTGTGCCTCTTTGGCCCTTGTACCAGTGCCCGCAGTAGTCCTGGGTGCTTCTCAGGGATTTCTGCTCACACCATGGCGTCTGCCCCAGCCCAGTGCACGTTCAGGAGCCTGGTGTTCTCCCTCTAACTCAGTAAGCCCCTCCCCTGTCAGTGCTGACCTGCATCCCTGCCTATGATTGCTGGGAATCTTTGTTCGCTTCCCTCCAGATGATGGGGCAAAAAATTGTATCCCTCCCTGCTTGGGGCCTTCCACACCATCACAGCTACGGCATCTTACTGTCTCCCTGGCCGCTGCTATTGTGGAGCTGCATCCCTACGTCCTTTCCTACAGGTGTCAGTGCTGACCGGCATCATCAAGATCAGCCTGAAGACGCTGCTGGAGTGCGTGCGGCTGCGCACCTTTGGGCGCTTTGGGCTGCAGCAGGTGCAGGTGGACTGCCACTTCCTGCAGCTCTACCTGTGGCGCTTCGTGGCCGACGAGGAGCTTGTACACCTGCTGCTGGATGAAGTGGTGGCTTCAGCTGCCCTACGCTGCCCAGACCCAGTGCCCATGGAACCCAGTGTCGTAGAGGTCATCTGCGAACGCGGCTAGGCCCAGCCGTTGTCGTGTCATGCACGGGCTTGCCGGGCCACCCCAATCCACACATCCCCTGGCCTTTGGCCCGCGTGGCCCTTCCCCTCCTAACCTTTCCCTTCCAGCCTCAAGACCTTCCTAATAAAGACGCGGTGTCTTCTCGCTCCAGCTTCCCCTGGTGGGCGGGACTTGCAGGGGGTGGGGTTGCGAGGCCCAGGCTTTACACTGGGCCTCGGAGGTGCTGGCGTTGGGCTCGCCTCCGGTAGCTGATTGGCTGATGCGCTGGGCCCAGGATGATCCGGGGGCGGATCCATTTAAACAGTGGGACCAGAGCTATTGCTGTCCGAGCTTATTCCAGACAGGTGCAGGCGCTGCGAGGCCGGATCCCTTGCGTCACCGAGCCCACCTCCTAGGGGATGGGGTGGGGTGTGTTTCCTTGACGGATTTTTGTAAGACCCATCTGGCGGTGCGGAGACCATGGCCCTTCAGGGCTCCCGAGCCCCGCTGGAATTCGGGGGACCCCTGGGTAATGGGGCAGAGAAAGGGGGGTGCTACAAGCAGGATGGGGCATGATCGGAAGGCTTTGAGGGGTATCGGGGACAGAGAGATAGGGAAGGGGGTGTTGTGAGTCAGTGTCTGGAGAGAGAGCTGGGGAGGAACCAGTCCTGGGGGCTGCAGAGCGGGAGGTTTGTGGAGTGGAGGACCGGACGGAGTCCAGGGAGCACGAGGAGGGTCTTCGAGGTAGCCTGGAGGCGGGGTCAAGATGGAAGTTAGGAGAGAGGGCGAAGGGCTGAGAACGGGCTGTGGAACAGGACAATGGGGATGCTGAGGGGGCCCTGGAGACGACCGGGCGCCCGTGGGGGTCGTGGAAGAGTCGCGGAGCGGACGCCTGACGCGATCGCCCCCGTAACTAGGCGCTGCGGCGCTGATGCTGCTGCTCCCTGCCATCATGTTCCACCTGCTCCTGGTGGTTCGCTCTGGGCCGGCGCGCCTCCTGGGCCTACCCCCCTACCTGCCGCGCCCCGAGGCTCTGTGGAGTCCCTGGGCACTGCTGCTGTGGCTCACCTGGCTCGGCCTGCAGGCGGCGTTCTACCTGCTGCCTGCACGCAAGGTGTGGACTCGGGTCGGACGCGCGGGGGAAGAGGGCGGAGGGAAGGGCTTGACGAGAAGAAAGGCTCCCTCAACCATTGTCAAACCCCTTTGCGCCCGCAGATGGCCGAGGGCCAGGAATTGAAGGACAAGAGTCGCCTGCGCTACCCCATTAACGGTGCCTGGGGAAGGGTCCTTTCGGTGGAGTTGTACGGGTGGGGTGGAGCTCCAGGTCTAGTGGGATTAACCCCTGACCCCGAACTCCATTACGTTTCTCTCCCGCCCAGGACAGACCTGGGAGAATCTCACTGTCCCTCTGCACACCCCTGTCCCTCCACCCCTTCCTACAGCATTTACTACTAGTCTGCACCGCAGCAGCTGCTGAGGTGATCGTCTGAAAGTCGGGGGGTCAGCCCAATGGCTTGGAACGAAGCTTTTGACCTCCCTGGGCTTTGAGCTCTGTGTGTGTGTGTGTGTGTGTGTGTGTGTGCGCGCGCGCGTGCACGGGGTGGAAGTTTTGGGGTGCTGTCCCCAGGACTCACTCTGTGCTGTTGTGCTCCAGGCTTCCAGGCCCTGGCGCTGACAGCCCTGTTGGTGGGCCTGGGGGTGTTGGCGGGGCTCCCCCTAGGGGCGCTAACAGAAATGCTCCTGCCCTTGGCATTTGTGGCCACCCTCACCGCCTTCATCTTCAGCCTCCTTCTCTATCTGAAGGCTCTAATAGCCCCTGCCTCCGCCCTGGCACCTGGAGGGAACTCAGGTGAGTGGGGTTCCAGTAGGGCATCGGTGGAAGCAGATGGGGGTGATTGCTTGCACCTTTACCCTCCATTGTTCTCCAGGAAATCCCATTTACGACTTTTTTCTGGGACGAGAACTCAACCCGCGCATCTGTTCTTTTGACTTCAAATATTTCTGCGAACTGCGGCCTGGCCTCATCGGCTGGGTATGCTGGGCATGGCTAAGTGGGACCTGAGCCAGCAGGAGGGCTGGGATGGCTGAGCAGCTCTTGGTCAGGGCAGGCGCAGCATTGCACAGACATAAATCATTCATCATTCATTCATTCCACAAATATTTGTTAAATCTAACATGTGCCCTAGGTACTGGGGATGCACTAGGAAAAACAATCACAGAAAAGAAAAAAAGTCTGTCCTCACAGAGCCTACATTCTAGTGGGAAAGACAGACAAAAAATATATATAGCATGTCAGGGCAGGCTGGGTGCTATGGAGAAAAGATGGCAGGGCAGGAGCTAGGAGAGCAGGTGCAGTTTTAAATAGAGTAGTCAAACACAAAATCTGTTTCGAGGGGGAGAGTGATCTTACACTGCTTGCTAGTCACAGCAGTGCGGAACTTAGAACTGATCACTGGGTTTAGCAACCTGTCCGTCACTTACGTGCCAACTGTGTTTCTTCATTATAATCAGTGCTGGACTGTGGTCAGGATTTCCCAAAGGGTCCCTCATGTCACCCTGGAAACCTCATTCGGAGGCAGGAGGAATGCCAGGTGCTGGGGATCCGGATCCCAGCCTCCAAGGCTATGTCCCGATGTATGAAATAGGAGAGAATAAGAGCTTCCTGCTAAGGTCATTGTGAGAATTACAGGTGGCAGCCGAATAATAGCACCTGGCTCACTGCTGCCACGTGGGGGTGCTCCATGCAGGCTGGCTGCCAGCCACCATTACTGAGCACTTACTATGCGTCAGGCACACTGCTCAGCGCTTCACACACACATCATGTCAATGAGCCAGGAGGCAGGTCCGTAACCATCTCCATTTCCCACATGGGGGCGGGGAAGGTGGGCCTTAGAAAGGGTAAGCAACTTGCCCGAGTGGGGAAGCTGAGATCAAAGCCAGGTCTGTTTTAACTCTCAGGCCTGAAGTGTCCATTTACTTTCGACGCTGCTCTCCCAAAGTGAACACTACAGCACAAGACAAAACAGTCTGGGAGGTGGTCCACTGTAGGCTCTCTGCTCCTGGGTACAGGGTCTGGATCCATTTGACAAAGGGCTGGAGAGTTGGTGACATTAGAGACACGGGGAGAAGCTAATCACTGCCCCACCCTGCCCCCTCCATGGAAACGGACTGGGGACAGACTGCTGTTTGCCCCTCACCCCCAGGTCCTCATCAACCTGGCCCTCCTGGTACAAGAAGCAGAACTTCGGGGGGGTCCCTCCCTGGCTATGTGGCTGGTCAATGGCTTCCAGCTACTCTACGTGGGTGATGCCCTCTGGCATGAGGTGAGGCTGGACTGGGCCAGGGATGCAGGGGGAGTTGCCTGAGGACCTCACAGGGACTAAGCCAGTGTGTCTGGGTCGCATCCCTGCAGGAAGCTGTCCTCACCACCATGGACATCACACATGACGGGTTCGGCTTCATGCTGGCCTTCGGGGACCTAGCCTGGGTACCCTTCACCTACAGCCTGCAGGCCCAGTTCCTGCTGTACCACCCGCAGCCCCTGGAGTTACCCATGGCCTCCATCATCTGCCTTCTCAATGGTCCGTGAGGAGGGGGCAGCAGGCTGGGAGCATTGTTTTCCCTCCCCTTTTATTCATTCACTGTTTATTCAGCACCCACTAGATAGGGATTAAGCCTCAGGCTCTTCTCTAAAGCTAGGGGCTGGGTCCTGCGGTCCAGGCAGCCTGGGTGTGGGCCGTGGTGGGGCGGGGGGACCATCGGGGTCAGGCCGAAGGATCTGACCCTCAACCCTGGCTGCTCATGCCTTCCCCCAGCTGTTGGCTACTACATCTTCCGTGCAGCCAATTCCCAGAAGAACACCTTCCGAAAGAATCCTTCTGACCCCAGAGTGGCAGGTGAGCTGGGTTTCCAGGGTGGCATGAGTGAGGTGGGGCGGCTCAGCTTCCTGGGGCTCACCTGTCCCTCTGTCTTTCCCCAGACCTTGAGACCATCTCTACAGCCACGGGGAAGCAGCTGCTAGTGTCGGGGTGGTGGGGTATGGTCCGCCACCCCAACTACCTTGGAGATCTCATTATGGCTCTGGCCTGGTCCTTGCCCTGTGGTGAGTGGCTTGGGTTGCTGCAGGTGGGGCCGCAGGCATGAGGGGCAGAGGTGGCCTGGCAACGACAGGACACCCAGTCTGGGCGTGCAGAGTGGGTGCACGACGGTGGAGGCAGCAGTCAGGGAACGGGAGATGGACTCAGCATGTGGCGGGGGCAGACCCCCGGCCTTTCGCTATTGAGTCCGGATGTCCCCAAGAGCCATTAGGTGTGGAAACCTTTGTGACCTGGGAGGCTGCCTGAGTGGTCACAGAGATGCCTTTCCCACAGGGGTGTCCCACTTGCTGCCCTACTTCTACCTCCTCTACTTCACCGCGCTGCTGGTGCACCGTGAGGCCCGGGACGAGCAGCAGTGCCTGCAGAAGTACGGCCTGGCCTGGCACGAGTACTGCAGGCGTGTGCCTTACCGAATTGTGCCCTACATCTACTGACGTGCCTGGCCCTCTGCCAGAACACAGCACCAGGAGCCTGGGCACAAGACTCAAAAGCTTGTGCTCAATCCTGCTGTGAGCCCCAACAGGCAGGATGAACAGCCTCAGAGAGGTGGTTTGGAACAAGGAGAAAATGAAACCACTACCCAGAAATGGATTGGAGCAGTTGCTCTCACTTCTCAGATAAACATCAGGAACCCTTGGCGTCACTTTTCTCCCTTTCTGGGGCAGGCAGGGGTGTTTCGAAATTGGCTGGGTCAGTCCTAATCAGGGAGAGGCAAGCTGAGAGGTGATTTGTGGGCCCCAGTCGGGCTGGGTGGGGACAGCAGCTGTTTCAGAAATGGACACTGCTGACTGGGCAGACCAGTTAGCTTTATTGACCAGGCGTCCACAGTTCAGCCGGGGAGCTCCTCAATGAGAGTCCTTGGGGCAGGTGGCAGGGGACCACCCCAAAGCCGCTCCAGGTCCCCAGTGAGGGCCGCCACCTCCTCGGCTGCTACCGTGTGAGCTCGGTGGGCCCTGGCACAATCCAGAGCCAGGGCTGGGAGGGCCACCTCATTTTCGTTGGTCCAAGCCAGCAGGAACTGGCACTTCTTCCTGGCCCGGTAGAGGCGACCTCGCTCTTCAGAAGCCTCGGCCTGTTTTCGGGCCCGGCCCAGGGTCTGCACCAGGTGCCCCAGTGCTGCCAGCGTGTAGCCCTTCTGGTTGTCAGGGCCCTCACCCAGCAGGATGCGGGCAGCCTCGCGCATGGCACCCCGTGTGCCCAGGGGCCCGGGTGGATGCTCGCCCCCTTCCAGCACATGAGCTGCGGCCAGTAGGGCTTCCTCGGCAGAGTCAAAGACTTGCTGGGCGCCCAGGGCTCCGGAAACGCCAAGCAGCGTGGCACAGAAGTCGGAGAGCAGGGAGTCGTCGCCGCCATGATACAGGGCAAGAGTGTGTGCGTAGGCGAACAGCACGTTGGGCAGCTGGAAGCGTACCAGCGGCGAGATCCGGCCGTGGCTCAGGCTGGCCAGCGTGGGGATCCGGGTGGGCACGGCGGGCATGCAGGCCCCCGGAGCGTCTCCGAGAACCGTCTCCTCGGCGGCCAGGGCCTCCGCGGCAGCGGCATCCTTCGCGGGTTCAGGCGGCGCCCTCGCAGGGACGGGCTCCAACTCTCCGGCCTCACCGCCCGGGGTATCATCCAGCTCCTCCAAAAGTCGTGGCCCAGCCCCGCGACCCCACCACCACGGCCGCCACGGGGGCAGCAGCCTCCCAGCCTCGCCACGGTTCAGCAGCCGCTCGAAGGCCGCCCTCTCGGCCGGGCCTAGCCGCTCCCAGAGTCCTAAGAGGCTGCCGGGCGCCGGGCCAGGTCTGAGACCCGCGTCTTCCAGCTCGTCCTCGGTCTCGCGTTGTTGACGCAGGCGGCGGAGGGCGCTGGCTAGGCGGCTGGGAGAGGCGCTGCGGCCGCGGAGCTCTCCCAGCACCTGGTCGCGGTAGAAGTCTTCGGCACAAGTGCCGTGCGCCCGGTAGCAACGCAGTGAGCAGTAGGGCACATTACAGCGGGGGCAGGTGTAGAGCGCTTCCCGGGCCTCCCCGGCCGGACAGAGACCGCAGGGCCCGGCCGGCTCCATGGCAACCGGCACTGCACGCCACCCGGGAGCGCATAGGGGCTGCAGCTCGGAAACTTCCGGCGCTTCTCGGTTACTTCTTCCTCTTTACGGAGCCTATGGAGGGCCTAGTCAAAGCTCCCCGAAGACTCTCGGCATTTCCCGCCCACAGTCGGAACCCAAGCCCCACCCCCCTCTCAGGAAGCGCCGGGGCAGAGCTCGAGCGGGTCGTGACGTAGGAGCCCCGCCCTGCGCGGGGTGAGGTAGGATGGCGCCCCACACCCCTCCGCCCCGGATCCTGCTCACCACCTGGTGGATGCGTTCTCAGCACTGTAAATCGAAGAGGCAGAAATCGATCTTTGCCAAGCACCTGCTGTGGGTTAATTGTGCCGGGTCCATGGGAGATTAAATGCATCCCTGCGCTGTAGGGCCAGCCATTCTACTAGGCGGCCCAAAAGGAGTGTAAAGACCAGGGTGGGGTACCTAGCCCAGACTGAGTGTGTGTTGGAGGCATTTTCTCTCTTCAAAACAGCAACATTTAACACACTTGAGCTTCTGTTTGATTTTCTCCTCCAGACCTATCGTTTACCCAACTTTAAAGGCCAGATTCCACACTAGGCGCCAAAATTACATTGAGCCAAGGGATGGGGTCCTATCACAATGGAGCTTCGACTGCAGTAGAGTAGGGGCGATGACCCACAAACCTGCCAAGTGCTGAGTTGGTCCATGGCACCCCTGCAAGTGAGCTCTGGTTCTTTGGTTCCTCACTTCACTCCCATCCAATCTCACCTGCAGTGAGTTCTGCCTTCAAAATACTTTGTACTTATTTCAATATGGGTATGTCCCTACCAAGATCTAAACTTAATGACCTTCATGTCTGTTCTTTTTTTTTTTTAAGTTTGAAGTGAGAGTTGACTAGTGAAGCAATGAGACAGTCAAGACTGCTCGTTTTTTTTACATCCCCACCACCACTGGTGGTCTAGGCTCCTTGCCCCTTAACTGGACGAAACCACCTTAACTGGTTTCCTAACTTTCTTGCCAGCCCTCCAGTAAAATCAGCCAGAGAAAATATCACAAAAACTTTCCCCGCCCTTGGTGATTCGCACTGCATTTGGACCCGAATTCCTTCCTATGTCTGACTGCAGTTATTTCAGCTCAAACTTTTACCATCTGACTACCTGATCGGCTCGTTTCATTCAGGTCTCACATCCTACCTTCAGACACCTTTCCCAGGATAGCACGTCTGTGTACCCAAACAGCCTTCATTTTAGCACCCTTCTTACTTTGAGGATATTAACACTTCGTTTCCTCATGTGAATCTATTTCAATAAATTCCGAGAAGGGAGGAGAGGCCAATTCTTTTTAACTAGACACAAAAACAGCCTATGTATTTGTACTTACTACGTGGCAAGTGCTGATCTAGACACTTTGCATCCTTTATTTAATACTAACAGCTACTCTCAAGAGATGCCAGCAGATGAAATAGTTATAAATGGAGCAAGGATCCAAACTCAAGGCAGTCCAAGTCTAGAGCCCAAGGTCTTTCTCTGCCTCACGGTATGCTGTATTCCTGGAAGCAGCAGGCTCAGAAACATTAGATGAATGAATGTGTGGGTATGCACTTGCTATTAGCAGGACACCTTGAATCAATCCCAGAGAATTCAATTTTCTGGGAACACTGAAACAATCAACTGACCATCCTGAGCTGTGATTAAGTTAATAAGACAAGCCATGCAGTCAGAAGTACAAATAAGATGAACACGGTGCCAACACAATCAGACAATAGTTTCCAAAGCTGGGGCAGACCAGATCCCTGCCCTGGACTCCACTAAGGCCACAGCTGGTCCCCAGTTCAGGGCAAGGCCAGACGGGCGTTCCCTGACTTTTCTCCCACCAGAACTTCTCCCTTCTATAGCTGCCACCATAAAATTCCCACAATGATTACTATCTTCTGTTGAAGAACAACAGAATAAACAAACAGAAAGATTTGGGGGGAATCATTAAGTTATTTGAGAACATAAATTTCCCCAACTCTGTATTCGAGGGACTGGCATGTGTTGTTACTGGTTTTCACGGGAAGCCCTTTTTTTATAGTTTACCACTTCAACCCCCACCCCCGCCACCTGCTACCAGCCAAGGGCCCCTACCTTCCTCACTTGACACTACCAAGAAACCCAAATGCGACCTCACTGTTGCAGTGGACAGACCACCAGCCCTAGAAACCACCTCTCGCCCTAAGGCCCTGCAAATGAAGGTGAAACAAGATGACTGGGCTAAGTGGCTTTATTAGAGAAAGCCGGGGTCACAAAGGACTTAAGAGTTGGCATTGGGGCCCTTCTTCTTGCCAAAGGTGGGCACGACATTGACAAAACGCCGGTTGTACTGCATCCGCCGCTTGGCCCGGCCGGTCTTCTTCTTCTTCTTCTCCTGTTTGGCCACCTGGAAAAAGGAAGGCTGGTCAAACCCTGACCGATTCTTCCATACCTTCCCTCAAACTCGTCTCCAGGGAGGGAGGAGACAGACAGACCAAGAGCCAAGGGTCTTGGCTTATCTGTGATATGAAAAAATGAAGTGCAAAGGACACCACTAATATTCTCACTTACTTTGGGGGTCTGACCTCTTACTTTCCCAGCACGGGCCAGGGAACCATGGACTTTACCTGTGGTGCAGAAGGAGAAGAGCAAGCAGTTAGGAGAGTAAGCAAGCCCCACCCAGCAGAATTCTTTCTCCCTCAACTCAAGCGTTTAAAGCTGGGCCCAACAGGGAATGGTAACAAAGATTTCACATCTGACCAAGAATCCTAGTCTGGTATGTTCTGGGTTTCACATCAGGATTTCCCAGCCCCTGACTTTAAACAAAAACTGAAAAGCACCTTGGGAGGGTCTAGTCTAACCCGACTTTTGTGAGGAAACTGGGAAACAGACAAGGATCTAGTAAGTGAAGGAAACAGAACTGTACTCTGGCTCAATCTTCAAGGACCTCTCAAGAGTTAATCCTGAAGTAAACAGGAAGAACCACCCCGAATTGAGGACACTGACCTCCACACCCATTATATAGTCACAAACTGTTTAAAGGACAGCCCCCCACCCCGCCAACTCACCTCCCAGCATGCGGCCGGCTACTTCCAGAGTGGTCAGAGCCTCCACCCCACATTGGCCCAGGGTAGCCTCATCCTCTAGGGGCGTGCCTGCCAGGAGCACCACTTGATCTTCTGGAGCGATGCCCTCCAGCGAGGCTACATGAGCCTACAGGCAAAAATGAGGGTCATTACCGTTCCCGCAGGGGGCGAGGTAAAAGAGCAGGAGGGTGCCCGGGAAGCACCACGCAGCCTTACCTTGATCTGGGCGACAGTCTCCTGGCCGGTCACCTCGAGGGTGTGTAGCTCCTGGGCGCGGACAAAAAGCTGCATGTCGGCGACTGAAGAAGGAGATGCTTGTAAGAAAAGAAATATCCTAGGAGATATGGATTTGGGGAATCAGTGGCAGGCCAGGGGCGATCGCGAATCTCACGTGCATAAGGCCCGGCCTGCCCACCAGGGGGGTCGAATGGAGACAAGAAACCAGCCCACAGAGCAGCCCCTCTTCCTCCATTTTCCCCGCGCCCTCTGACCTCGCAGCCAGCCTGCTAATGAAGCCCTCCAGATTCAACCGCGCCACTATACTTACCTGAGCTGTGGCCTCTGCCGCTACCGCGAAGATGGAGTCGAGAAAGAGGAAGGAAGAAGAGCTCACACGTACTAGCCGCTTGCTGCGTCCTACGTCACTGCTGAGCGACGACGAGGGCCTCTGCTATTTGTACCGCCCACGGCCCCCTAGCTTCGCCCCTTTACGCCCGCAAAGACAGTCTTTCAGGCCCGAGAGGCGTGCGCAGGCGGGGGCGGGAGCAGGCTGGTTGCGCGCGCAGAAGGCTATTGTACGGGGGAGTTCAAGATGGCAGCGACCATGTTCCGGGCTTCGCTGCGGGGCTGGAGAGTCGGCATCCAGCCGGGCTGCGGGCTACGGCAGCAGGTGAGAGCACGGGGCTTGGGGTTGGGGGCAGAGGGCTGGGTATGAGGCTCATTGTTATTCCTTGTAACTTTGAAAATCACTTTCCTATTTGGGGCCTTAATTTCTCCATCCGACCAAGGAGACCTTTTCTGTAGCTGAGATACTAGATTGTGAAGGAAGGTCACACGGACTGGTGTGTGCAACGGCCTGCGGGGACTTGGAATCTGATTGGAGGGTAGTCCTGGTTAGTCAGAACTGGGAGGGGCTGCATATCGACTCTCTCTGCTTAACGTTTTGAAAGGGAAACGGTCCATAGGGTCCACAGGTCGGCCCACTTCTGGGAACCTAGAGCTTATGATATAACAGGGCGCTTATTTTATCCCGCTTCCCTGTATTCATTGTAACCCCGGGGCCTATTAGGACTCCGGGGTATTTGTTGGGAGAAGTCCAAGAAGGATCTTAAGGCTGGAGGACGGGAAGACAGACTCCGGAGTATTACTTTAGATGGAGTGCTTAACGTCTTAATCTTCTTTGGATTCAAAAAGAGTGTGATAAAATACATACTTGTCGCATTATAAGAATTAAGTGAAAACAATACCTGTACAGCACTCAGTACAGTGCTTGATGGTGACTGTCTATTTGAGGCTGAAACCTTGCAGGTAAGGGAGAATCGCGTTGGGTGCGGGTGAGTGGAAAACTAGCATGATTGCTGAGAGTGCCTCACCCAGAACTGGAATATATCAATAGAACGTGTAGGTGAAAATTTCAATCCTGAAATATGCCATATTGGTTAGAGTTCCAGTTAGTTGGCTTTTCAGAAGTATACGCACACTTGTCATTTGAGTCCCAAGAGGGACCGAGAGAGGCAGGAGAGGCAGGCTCTACAGAATGCTTGAGCTTCTTTTCCAGTCTCAGCGGCACCATGATGCACTGAATTCTGGTGCTTTTCTATCTCCAGCCATTTATGTACATGCCATTCTCTCCACCTGTAATGCTTTCTTTCTCTAATTGCTGAAGTTCTGTCTATCCTGTGTTGGTTGGGTTTTCTGAGTGGGCTGATGGAGAGATGGTTGCTTTTTGTTTTTGCCTCAGAGCCAGACCAAGGGACCTCCCAGTTACCCCAGCTTCGTGGAGTCTGTGGATGAATACCAGTTTGTGGAGCGCCTATTACCCCCCACCAGCATCCCAAAGCCCCCAAAGCATGAACATTATCCTACTCCTAGTGGCTGGCAGCCCCCCAGAGGTGAGCTGGATAATGGAGATGGCTTGAAGGCCGCAGGGAAATAGCCCTCCTTAGTGGTCGGCCTGCCTCATCTGAGATTCTGAACTCCTCAGTGGGCTCAGGATTTGTGTTGAGATCTCTCAGGGCTAGCATCTGTCTCATGTTCAAGGAAGGGTCCAGGAATGGAGCCGTGTTTCACAAGTAAACATCCATCCCACTACTGGGATAAGGTCTTCCCGTGCGGGTGTTGGGTGCGGGTGAGTGGAAGCCATGTTTAGAAACCACGTGGTTAGAGACCATGTAGGAGAACCAAGCTCTGAACCTTGTCAGCCAGTCTGACACCCTTGAGAACACCCAAGAGCTTGGACCCCTCCCCCTGCCCCAGCATCGCCATAGGCCATGTATCATAAATGAAAATACAACTTGGGGGTTGGGCAGTTCTGGTTCCAAGTTTGGCTCTGCTGTTTACTGCCAGTGTGACCTTGTGTCAGCTTTTCCCGACCTCAGTTTCAGCAAAATGGAAGTAATCTGCTTGGCACATAAAGCACTTAGTGCAGAGTCAGGCATGTGGTAGGTGTTCAGTGCTTGTAAATCCCCATCCTTTTGTGCCAGAGATTCATTTTAGTCTCCATGATGCAGAGGAGAAGGGCAAGGATTGGCCCCATACAGGGATCCAAAGATCCAGAGTGGCATGGTCCTGACGTCATTTCTTCCTCTTCTTCTTTTTTTTAAAATAGTTTTTAAAATTCTTTTTTAAAAAAGATTTCATTTATTTATTTTTAGACGGAGGTGGGCGATGAGGGAGAAAGAGAGAGAGAGAAACATCAGTGTGTGGGTTGCCTCTTGTGCACTGCCTACTGGAGACCTGGCCCGCAAGCCAGGCGTGTGCCCTGACTGGGAATTGAACCGGTGACCCTTTGGTTCACACGCCAGCACTCAGTCCTCTGAGCTACACCAGCCAGGGCTTCATTTATTCTTGAACACCTTCTCGTGCCAGGCCCTGTGTTGGGCCTTGGGGTACTAGTGTCCTGGCTCTAAACTTAGGGAAGGAGCAGGTCTCCTACTTGCGGTCTGGACAAGGCTTTGCTGTCCGTGCACTTACCCTCTGGTAAGGTGGGATAAAGCCTGGGAGGATTTAGCTTTATCACTGTTCCTCCGTGTCCCAGACCCTGCACCCAACCTGCCCTACTTTGTGCGGCGCTCTCGGATGCACAACATCCCTGTCTATAAGGACATCACACATGGCAATCGTCAGATGACTGTAATCCGGAAGGTGGAGGGAGATATTTGGGTAAGTTTGTGGGTGGGTCAGGGTGTGACTGTGACCCATTCAGGGCTGAAGGGTGGGAGTCCTCTAGAGGTGAGTTTTCTGACCAGGCTTGATTTGTTACCTTCCCCCAGGCCCTACAGAAGGATGTGGAAGATTTTCTGAGCCCACTGCTGGGGAAGACACCTATCACCCAGGTCAATGAGGTGACAGGTACCCTGCGGGTCAAGGGCTACTTTGACCAACAACTGAAAGCCTGGCTCCTAGAGAAGGGCTTCTGAGACCTAGCTAAACAAGCCTGCGTGACAGCATCCCCCGCAGACTGGGGTCCAGGGGATCTCAGGAGGAGGGGGGTGGGTGTTGGAGCAACTAGGATTGGGGTACAGAGACCAGGGCTAAGGGCTGGGATAGGGTAGCCTGAGGGCTGAAGGGCCTCAAAGCTTGCTTGCGCAAAGGGGGACACAGTACCGTCTGCACAGGTGCCAGCACTGGGGGAGGGCTACCTGACACTGAGACCCGCTAGGAACAGCCGAGCTAGTGGGGGCATTAGTTGCTGTCCCACACCACCGCCCCTGACTTTGGTCTGTTCCTGATTTTTTTTTTTTTTTTTTTTTTTATGCTCACCAGAGGGCATGCTTACTGATTTGAGAGGGGGAGGGAGGGAGAGGAAAAAACATCAGCTGATTGCCTCTTGCGTGCATTCCAACCAGGGACTGAGTCCACAACCTAGGTATGTGCCCTGACCCGGAATTGAACCCACAACCTTTGTTTACTGGACAAAGCTCCAACTGAGCCACACTGGCTGGGTCTGTTCATGCTCTTTATTGGAGCTCATTAGGTGGAGCTATTCAAATTCTATAGGTTGTTGACTACCCCTCTGGAGGGAGCAATAGCCCAACCAAGGTTAAGGGAGGGTAGCACAGGACAGACCCACTGGGCCCCTTCCTTCCTTGGCCCTCGGGACTCGAGACTCGCTGCTGCAGATGTTCTCAAGCCCTTGCTCTGAGCCAGACCTGGCTTGTTGGAGGCTGCAGAGAATGCAGATGACCAACATAGGTCTGGGAGTCTTCCGTCCCAAGTGCAGTGCTGGGCACAAGGGTACAGTATGCCCGTGTTAGCCCCTGGACTCGTTCTGTCTGTGCTGGGGTAGAAGGCTCCATTCCAGACCGGAGGGGAGCCTCCTTAGGTTTCCAGCTGCAGAAATCTCAGTGATTAGCTATACTTGGTCTGCCCACAAGGGGGTGCTTGGGAGCTCCAAGCTGTCAGGCTCCGGTTCATGCTTTGCGGCTGGCTGACCAGCAGCAAGGCTGCACAGGGGGTTTGCGGGCAGGAAGACGCTGGCCTTTGCTCCTACCATCCCATCCCACCCCCAGTCAATGAGCCTCACACTTGTCATGCCACAAGGGCCAAAACCCTGAGTTGCCACCCCTACCTCCGCATCAGACTGGCTGACAAGGTTCAGAGCTTGGTTCTCCTACATGGTCTCTAACCTTTTTTGGGGCTCGGTTTCTTTGTACGTAATATGGGTGTACGTTCCTAATAGTTTAATTACAATGTGCCCACGGACAGTGCTGGCTTGTGTAAATAAACCCTCACTCCTGGAGATTCCAGGCCCCTCAAGGTGCAGCCTGAGTAAGAACAAGGAGCCCGGCTCACTGGTCCTGACACCACCTTTACCAATTGTTAATGCAAGTTTTTATTTGGCTGTATATACAATTCAAGCTATTAAAATTTGTACAATATTTACACATTAAATAATCATTTGAAACTCTCCCACAACTCACGTAACACAAAACCAAGGGGAAAAGACAGGGACAGGCAAGCTAGGGCTCCGGTGGGACACCACCTGGCCCAGAGCTGTTTCTAAACCGGAAAGACCAGGAGCCTGGCACTCCCACTTCTGTTTCAGGGGGATCAAGCACTCAAATTCAAAGACAAGATTTCAGCCGAAGGAAATAGCAAGTTATTCCAATTCTTCTAGACCCGAGAAGTTCTGTACGTTGAGGTTCCAGAGCAGACACACCAGCCCTCAGCCTAGAGTGAGGCTGGGCAAGACCAGGGACAGTCTCGCTTTAGACAAGCTACAGGGAGAGAGGGGCCTTGGGGGGGTGGGGGCGGGCAGTGTCCCTCAGTGCTGCCCTCTTGCTTCTCTGCCCCCAGGCACTCCTTTCCCTGAGTTGTGTGGTTGACAGTAAGACATGGAAATGTCACAGGGCATAAGGGACACAACCACCACCACAAAAGGGCTTCTGAGAGTTTAGAGTGAGGAGAGGACATTGGTACCAGTCTTGGTTGGTGGGCCAGGGAGCAAGTTCCTGGCCTGCCCCCAGCCCCTCAAGCCCACACTTGGGAATGAGAGCTAATACTGTTCGATACTGCAGCATGAGTCCAAACACACAAGTGGGGCTCGGAGGGGCCGCCCCTCCTCCCAGAAAGGGGCAGGGGGACGGACCGCTTTCAGAGGCTGTGCTGTTCCGCCTTCACGGCCCCTGCGGCACACAGGGCTGAAGAGCAGGAGGAGGAGCCCGGAACTGACTCCCATCCCCATGGCTGCCCAGGACTGGAAGGGCTGGAGTCAACTGGGGCCTCAGGCCTCTTTCCACTTGGCCTAGGGGATGCCAGCTCCTCCGTCTCAGAGCTGGGGGCTGCTACTCCCTGGTACAGACAGAGAGGGAGCTGGCACTTGGTGGCAGGACCTGTTCCAGCAAGGGCTGAAGAGAGCGGGAGCGGGGCCAGGACGGGGCGGTGTCAGTGGGCAACAGGGGACTCCAACTTTTGTAGGCGGCGGCGGCGGAGTTCTGCTGCATCTGGCTCGCCATCCTCAGGCAGCTCCTCGGTGCCCAGTGACTCAGGAGCTGGGGACAGAGGTCAAAAGTAGAACACCGAGCAGTCCCCTGCCCCACCCCCCTGTAGGCTGACCACAACTACCTGGAGGCTTTTCAGGTTCAGGGGCTGCTGGGGAGGCTCCTGGGGACGGGGCAGAGGCCTCAGAGCTGGGGGTGCTGGTGGAGGAGGCAGCAGCGACAACTGTAGGAGCAGTCTCCTCAATGGAGCTGGCCGAGGTGGCAGGCCGGGGAGGCCTAGGAAGAGAAGGGACAAGAGGTGGGCACAGCTTTGTAGAGTCCAGCACCCATGTGCCTCTGCAGCCCAGGGACCAGCAGACACAGGTCCATGCAGAGGCACTCCTGGGATTCTGCGCCACAGACTGGCTGTGCACCACTTGCAGACAGGGGCTGAGGCCTGCTCAGTGCGGAGTCTCCACCCTGGGGTGTCAGGCACCTTTTAAAAGGCACCTGCTAAGTCCTCCCACGGACTAAAACAGAGCACTCAGGTCTCAGACTCAAGCCCCAGTCCACGCCTGTGCTGTCATTCTTGTGTGCTAGGCACTTTGTACATGTGACATGTGAAGAGGAATGAGAACCTCTTCTATTCAAGTAAGGTAACGGTGGTCACAAAGCACGTGAGTGATGGGACCAGGACTTGAACTTGGGCCACGCTGGCTCCAAGGGACCAAACTTCATTTGCTGTCTTGGACCAGGCACACTGATTCCCAGTCACAATGTCAGCATATGTCAGGAGGATGTACACAATGAACTAAAACACTGAGAATTATGAGTAATTTGACTTTACAAAAATGTAAGGTAACAAGATTCAAAGCCAGCTCTCTCATAATCCTCACTCCTACTCAGATCCAGACAGGCCCTCTGCAGAGGGAGGATGCAAAGGCACCAGGAGCCCTCAGACCCAGGGAGTGCCTACAGAGAGGCGGCTGCAATCAACAGGCATCACAGGGTGGCAGAAGGGAAAAAGGCCAAGAACCGCTGCTGGCAGCCGCCTCCTGGCAGCTCCATGCCCCTGCTGCCCACCCGGGTGCCCTGTGCAGACATACCCCAAGGAGGCGAGCACCGTGAGGTACTGGTTGATCTGCAGCATGGCAGCGTCCAGCAGCGTGTGGATGTTGCGCAGGCTCTGCAGCCGGGCCTCCAGGTGCTGCCGCTCATGGCCCTCCAGGGCCCGCAGCTCCTCCGGGGTCAGCCCAGCGAAGCCAGCAGGGGGCACGGGCATGGGTGGGAAGGCTGGAGAGAGGTAAGGGCTCAGCCTGGGTTGCCCGGGCAACACCCCCCACCCCCAGCCGCCACCGGCCCCAAGAAAACCCCGAGAGCGGCCCTGCTTACCAAAGGGTGGTGGCAGTGGCATGCCCATCCATGGAGGGGGGAAAGGGAAGCCCGGGGCAGGGGCAGCCTCAGCGGTGGGGGCGGAGCCAGGTGCCTGGGCAGAGGCAGCAGAAGCAGCTGTGGTTGGGGCTGCTCCATTGGGCCGAGAAAGGGCTGCTGAAGAGTAACAGGAAGTCAGTGAGTGTTGAGGGGCCTCTGCTTCCACTCCCCCCACACCCCTGGTTGTCACAGCGCCCAAAAGGCTCACCTGCACTGGTGGATGGAGGGGCTGCAGCCTCTCCTGAGCTGGGGGGAGGTGGGACTGGTGGAAAGGGACCCATGGGGGGCCACAGCGGGAACATGCCTGGAGGGAAGGGAGGCAGCAGGCCCTGGGGGACTGCGGAGAGGACAGGACGTGGTGAGAAAAGGTCCAACTCACAGACAAGGGGCTGGTGGTTGGGATCTGTTCCTCTGCTTCCACAGGTGTTCTCTGAGCTCACAACTGACCATGTGACCGCAACCATCTGTCTCTTCCCATGAGCACCCCCGCCCAAGACTGAGCTGCTGCTGGGCAGGGCCTCTTTGATTCCCCTCAGCATTTCCCATTCCCAGCCCAGGGCAAGTACTCAACAGTATGGTAATTGGCCAAAAGAGGGGTTACTCACAGTTGGGAGGCTGGGGCAGGAGCGGTGGGGGGTGGGGGGCAGGTGGTGGCCCCTGGTCCGCAGGTTCAGGGGGTGGCGGTGACTGGGTTGGCAGTGATGCACGAAGGACATCCATACGGCAGGTAGGGCAGGTCTGCTGCCGCTGGAACCAGGAGCGCAGGCAGCTGGGGGTCAAGACCAGGCAACAGTCAGCATGTCCCTCAGGGCCTGCCTCCAAGAGCCTGTCCCCTCCTGTGTAGGCTCCCCAGGGCCCTTCCCACCTGGTATGGAAAATGTGGTTGCAGGGCAGTCTCTTCGCGCCAGTCACCATCTCTTCTCGACAGATGATACAGACGTTGTCCATCGCCTGGAGCTCCTCTGGGGTGGCGTCTGGGTACCTGATTAGGCAGAAGACGGCGTCAAGGCCAGAGCTGGAAGGTGGAGAACCACAGCTGGGGCAGAGCTTAGGAGAACACTCAGGACAGGCCCACTTACAGCGTGTTCATGTTGCGAATAGCGCGGCGAGACATGATGGCGTCTGTCACAGCTTTCTTGAACTGCCTGAAAGGACAGTTTCGGTGACGGTTGTGAGCAGAGGGATCAGACACGGGTCAGGGGTGTGGCGGGGCATGGCCCAGCTAGGCTCACCTCATGGCCAGGTACATAGGCCGGATGGCAAACAGAGGGAAGGTGTGCACCTTGATCATGATGGTCATGAAAGCCATGTACAGCAGCACCTTGATGAAGCCTGGGGGAGAGGGTGTGCAGAGAGCGGCAGGTCACGGGGCCTGTGAAGCAGAGCCGGGGACACTAGTCCAGGTCAGGGGAGGCCCAGGCCCCTTTCACCTGTAAACAGCTCTGTGTAGAGCATGTACACGGCCTTATTGTCCCAGGGGTTTTCGCTCTGGAGGTCCACGGAGTGCAGCACGTACTTGATGAAGATGGTGAGCACCATAGTCATCAGGATGGCATACTGGAGGCAGGAGGGTGGCGGCCGTGAGCATGCAGCGCCCCCTTGCTCCAGCCACGCTGCTCGCAGGCCTCTGCACAGCAGGGCGCAACAGTGCAAGCACAGGCTTGGGCACAGCCGCGGTCTTCCTAGCACCTCCGCTCACTAGCTCGTGACTTTTGGCGACCCGCTAGTCCTCTCTGAACTACATTTTGCCTGTGCGTAAAATGACAGAATTGATCGCCTTGCTGATTAGAAGAGATGCAGGCCAAGTGCTCAGCACAGGGCCTGGCATACACTAAGCACTCAACAAAGTGAGCTGCTGTCAATGAACACGTTCTTCCTCTGCCAGCTGCCCGTCACACTAATTCCTCCTGTCCATCAGCGGCTGGCTCCTCTGGCATCAACATCCAGGAGGCCGTCCCCAAGGGCCAGGTCAGCACTACTCTGCTACGGGTGCCACCTCCTGTGCCTTCCCCGCTCTCCTAGGCCTGAGGGGGAAGAGGGCTGGGACTGATGACTGCTCCGTGGTGGCCCGCATGGGGCTGGCCACACAGCAGGTGCTCAATAAGCGTTGTTGGGTTATTCAAGGCACACGCAGTGCCACCTCAGGCTTGTCCTCCCAACCTCCCAAGCCAGTTTTACCTCAAAGCCAAACACCAGCTGCACAGAGGCCCCACGGGTCAGGATGCTGTGATAGGCATGGCTGACGAAGAGGAAGTCCAGGATACCCAGGAGGAACATAAGGGCTGTGGGGACCCCCCAAATGGGGGGTTGGAGGGGTCAGCCCAGGGCCTGACAGCCACTTCCTATTCTAAGATGGCTCCCACCCTCAAGCCCACCAAGGTCCCAGCCTCTAGTCAGGTGAGCACACACTGCTGAACCCGGCCCCCTGGGAACTCCAATTCTGCCTAGTGGGGCATGGGGCAGCCAAGCTCCAGATGAGGCGGCAGAGAGCTGAGGAGCCAGGCAGTTGAGAAGCTCTGGAGTGGAACAGGGCAGAGATGATGCAAATTAATTTCCTAAATTATCTTTCCTGTACAGCTGCGGCCGAGAGGACAGCCTGTGCTGTAGGGTACAGGGCCATAGTGACTTTTTATGTTCCAGTCCTCCATGGTGCCTCTTCCCCTTCCGCTCCCCCTCACGGGTCTCACTCACAGACAATGCGGCAGTGAAAGAGCCAGGAGATATTAGGGCTGCGTTCCATCTGAGGCAGAGCAGAAGAGGGGTCCTGTCAGGAAAGCTGGAGCTCACCCCACATCCCAAACCCAGCCCTCACTCCACAAGCCTGCCCACCGGCCACTCTCTGGCTTCCATCTGCTCCAGAGAACCCCTGACCCAACTCACAAAGTCCACCCGGTCTTCAGCCAGCCAGTGAAAACACTTGAGGAAGAGAAGGAGAGTGAAGAGCGCAACGAAGCGGGGGCTGAAGTCGTCCCGAAAGACGGTGAAGGCCAGACAAGTCTCAGTGACAGCATACCAGGAACGTTCCAGAAGGTGCTGGGGGTTGGGCAAGAAATGATGTGGAACTCAGACATTGTGCTTGCGTAGCTCCCTGGCCCTCACTTTGGGGCCACAAACATCTCACCTCCATCTCTGCGGCCCTCAGCTGTCCAAAGAACACCTTGCCCATGACCTTGCCCAAGAGGAAGACAAGAACGAAGGCCTGGATGTACAGGACCTAGGAGTGAAGAGACGCTTTGGTTTGAGGTCAGCTTCCACTTTGCTCTGCCCAGGCTCATCATTCAAGAACCTCCCCACATCCCTAAAACAATTTATTCAAAGTTAAGCAGCTGGAGACTACTTCTCTCCTACTTGACCTTTAGCCCCACCCCTGTCTCAAGCAATCTCCTCCTTCCCTCCCAGGAGTTCCTCCCTCCCGCGCCTTCAACTCACTGCCATGCTGGGGCTGGACTTGGTCAGGTACACCACAGTGGGGTAGAACTGGTGCTTGAGGTAGTAGGCATGAGCCACCACTGCCCCGGTCAGCGCCAGGCTGGCCGCCATCATCACTGCGGTGCGGAACATCGCCCTGGCCTGGAAACCTGCATGGGGAAAGGAAAGAACCACTCGTGTGTTGGCCATACCGTGCAAACCTAGCAAGCGCCTGAAACCCAGAGTCAATAAATAGAAGACAGAAGAAAACTCATTTCATCCTCACAATCGAGAATAGCACAGACCCTCTCCTCCATATTACCAACAGAACACTGAGACTCAAAGTGGTTAAGCGATCACACTGACGCCTGGAGCAGTTTTGTTTCAAATTTGGGTTCTTTCCTTGCTGCCTGCCAGGCCGCCGCCCCTAGCGAATAATGAGGAGAGGCAGCAATATTTGAGGGGGAAGAACTGCTACCACTGACCCTAAAGTGAAGATGATGCTATGGGATGCAAAAACAAAAATTTAAAACACACACACACACACACAAAACTTCAGAGGCGGGAACATTAGGCCTGGACTGGGAGAAGCCAAGGCGCTGCGGGGCACAACCGGGCAGGCGACAGCGCTGGTGACAGCTCTGCCAGAGTGGACAGCTCCGCCACGCGCCCCGCGGAAGCAGGAGGGGTCTGTCAGTCTGGAACCCTGGTGCGTCCCAACCCCCGGGGCAGTGTCAACTCGGGACACCGGAGAAACGGCCGACCAACAGGATGCAGTGGCGGGACTCAGAGGGACCGGTGTCGCCCCGTGATCGCGCACCTGTTAAGCGCCAGGAGCCGCGAGCGTCGCAGGCGGGGCCCAGCCTCAGAGAGAGCGGCCGCGAGGGCGCCTGAGGTCTATTTACCGCCAGCTGACAGGCCGAAAGCTGGCGGCGGGTTGGGGGGCACGCCAACCCTGGACACCTCAAGGGGAAGGTCCAGGTCCCGACTCCAACCACAACCCGGGCCCGACCCCAGCCCACTCACCAGGAACGCAACGCCGCGAGCCCGCTCAATCCCCGCGACTGCGGAGGCGTCCCGGTTAACAACACTCCTCCACCCCCTGCGAGCCGGAACTTCGAGGGTGAGACACCTCACTTCCGGAAGCGCGGGGCGCGGTGTGGACTGTACCACGTGCACCCTTTCCTCGTCTGCATCGTGTGCCTTCTGTGGTGCTGGGAGCAGTCGCCCCCCGCCATATCTGGGGTTCGTGCCCAGGCTTCGAACAAGAAATGTAGGATGTGGCCGGAGCGGAATAGGGCGACTACGAGGGTGGTTAGCATTCCCCTATTTATTAATCAGAGATGGTATCGTCTCCGCCACTGAGTGGGCGTCTACTTAGCGGAGGGCTCAAGCTCTCCTAGTGGCTGGAAGGTGGAGCATTGTGAGGGCAGCACCACTTGGTGGGGGGAGTAGGCAAGGAATAGGCATTACAGGCCTAAGACAAATCAATTGTTTTAGAAGCTCATTCCAGGGGGGATTTACAATAGTTTGACAAGTAAAGCTTTCTGGGAAACTGGATTCAGAAAGGGAAATATCTGTCTCCTCCATGCTTACCCCCAAATTGTGTGTGAGTTGGGTCTCCGTGGCTGCTACTGATTGGTCGACATAGAGTTACGCGGACCAATAAGAAAAAGAAAGGAAATTTACTGGCCTATAGGAAGAGAAAACAGGTGAGCGGTTGCTAGGGGTGGAAGGCAGCGTTGCCTAGAACTAGGTCCAACCCCTGTGGGCGGGGAATGGGGAAGTCGCAGTCCGTGGGCGGGTGGGTGATCACAACCGCCTCGGGGAACGTTTGCTGCGCTGCAGAGGGGAGGGGCAGCCTAGTGTGCTAGGGACTGAGGAGGAGACAGATCTTTTCTGCCGTTAATCTTGTAGTGGCAATGTTTAGTGCAAAAGTACTGACTTCAAAGCTGCATTCCCGCGAGCCTCCTCGTACCTGTCGCTTTAGTGTCCTTGTATAAATTCAGTTTTGGGCCATAGGCACAGCTCCCTCTCGCCTCGTGCTGCCCGATACTTCAGTTTGTGTCTGGGTCGCTGCCAACCCAGTCTGTTCATTGGCAGAATGGCGCTAATGGAGCTAGTGCACCCACTTTGTGCCTTTCAAGTTTACCGTCTCATTTAACTATCATTTTAAGTTTATAAGCTAGGTAGTGCTATCCTCATTTTATACATGGGACAACTGAGGTCCAGAGATTTATCAAGACCTATCTTGGGACTGGCATTGAGGTCCATCTTGTTAGCCTCAGTCACCTTCCCACCACCTGTTGACCTCAGCTGGTCGTCTCAGTGTGGCTTCTTACCTGTCAATGAGTTGATTCCCCATAAAACCATCTATGACTTTTTTGTGACTATTAGAGTTAATAAGTGAGTTCAACAAGGTTGCCGTATAGAAGGTTAATATGCAAAAATCAGTTTTATTTTTATATATCAGTAATGAACGATCCAAAATGAAATCAAGAAAACAATTCTATTTACAATGCACACCAAAAATGCTTATGAGTAGATTTAGCAAAAGAAGTGTAAGTTTGGTACACTAAATATTAGAGAACATCATTGGAAGAAATTAAAGATCTGAGTAAACAGAAAGATAACTTGTAAGCATAGATTTGAAGACTTAATATTGTTCTATGGCAGCACTCCCAAAAATTGATCTAAAAATTCAACAATCCCTGTCAAAATCCCATCTGTTTTTATTGCAAAAATTAACAGGATGATCCTAAAATTCACTTTGAATGTTCACTTTGGCAGCACATATACTAAAGTTGGAAGGACAGAGAGAAGGTTAGCTGGTCCCCGTGCGAGGGTGACACACAAATGTGTGAAGGATTACACATTTTAAAAAACTAAAGACAATTCATGTTAAAGACATGAGATCCAGAATAGAGAAAACAGTTTTGAAAAGAATAATGTTGGAGTACTTATCATTCTGATTTTAAAACTTACTTCAGCCTTGACTGGTGTGGCTCAGTTGGTTGGGCGTTGTTCCACAAACCAAAAGGTCGCCACTTGGATTCCAGGTCAGGGCACATGCCTGGGTTGTGGCTTTGGTCCCCAGTTGGGGTGTGTACCAGAGGCAGATAATCAATGTTTCTCTCTCACATTGATGTTTCTCTCCCTCTCTTTTCCCTTCCCTTCCCCTCTCTCTAAAAATAAATAAATCAATATTTATTGATTTACTTATTTTAAAAAAAACTACAAACCCACAATAATCAAGATAGACAAATTATCAATGGAATAGAATTAAGAGTCAAGAAATAGGAAGGTGGATCCCCCAAAACCGGAATTATCTTCTGGAGGACAGGCCCCTTGCAGTACAAGCTTCCCCTGCTAGGTGAGTATTCTAGGAACCCATCTGTATCAGTGTACCAGCTGGCATTGTTGTGAGAGGCTGTGTGTGTTAGATGTCAGTGAATTTTTTTTGAAGACTCTTTCAGCGCATCTGTCCATGTCACGATGGGTGACCTAACAAGCGCACCTGCCCACACCACGCTGAGTGTTTAGCAGTTTTTGACCCAAAATGGCATGATCCCTATACCCCGCCCACCCTATTCATCCAATCTCACCCCGAGTGACTTTTTTGTTTGTTTCCTGGAATGAAAAAAGGTCCTCAAAGGGAAACATTTTGCTGATGTGGAAGAGGTGAAACAAAAAATGGGAGAAAAGCTAAAAGGCATAAAAACTGATGAGTTAAAAAACTGTTTTGAGCAGTGGAAAAAAACAGCTCAGTAGGTATATTGCATCAAATAGGACTTTGAAGGTGACTGAAGTATAAACATGTAAGAATAAATACACAATTGTTAATAAATAAATTATGGGATTTTTTGGGTCTCTCCTTGTAAACTCATGCATTTATGGGTAGTTGATTATCAACAAGGGTGCCAAGACAAAGCAATGGGGGAAACAATAGTCTCGTCAACAAATGGTGCTGTGGCCTCTACGTGACACCATACACAAATGTAAGACCTAAAGTTATAGAAGTCTTAGAAGAAATTTTAAGCATAAATCTTCATGACCTTGGGTTAGACAATGGTTTCTTGGATATGACACCAAAAGTACAGCAACAAAAGAAAAACTAAATAAATTGGACATCATCAAAATTTTCAAATGTTGTTCTTCAAAGGACACCAACCAGAAAGTGAAAAGACAACCCACAGAATGGGAGGAAATACTTGCAAACCATATTTTGATAAGGGACTTGTATCTATAATATATAAGGAACTCTTAAAACATTATGTTTTTATTTTCATTTTATTTTAGAGAGAGGAGAAGGGAGGGAGAATGAGAGGGCAAGAAACATCGATGTGAGAGAGAAACATCAGCTGGTTGCCTTCTGCCTTCTGCAAGCACCCCGACAGGGTTAGAGAACAGAGCCTGCAAACCAGGCACGTGCCCTGACCGGGAACCGAATTGGAGACCTTTGGGTTTGCAGGAGGACGCCCAACCAACTGAACTATATGCTGGCCAAAACTATAAGGGACTTTTATAACTCAATAATAAAAAGATAAGTAACCCAATTTAATGGGCAAAGGACTTGAATAGAAATTTATTCAAAAAAAGATGTAAAAATAGCCAATAGGCACATTATGGGTATGCAAATCAAAACCACAGTGAGATACCCCTTCACACCCACTAGCATGTTCTAATTAAAAAGACACACAATGAATAGTGTTAGGAAAGATGCTGAGAAAATTGGTACCCTCATGCATTTTTAGTAAAACAGTACAGTGCTTTGGAAAACAGTTTGGCAGTTTCTCAATAGTGAAACATAGAGTTACCATATGACTCAGAAATTCTACTCCTAGGTCCATACCCAAGAGAACTGAAAAATCCATTCACACAAACACTTGTACATAAATGTTCATATCAGCATCATTCTAATAACCCGTAAGTGGAAAGAACTATAATGTTCATGAATGGATAAACAAAATGTAATATATCTATACAAGGGAGTATTTTTAAAAAGATTTTATTTATTTATTTTTAGAAAGAGGGGAAGGAGAAAGAGAGGGAAAGAAACATCAGGTGTCTCTCACACGTCCCCAACCAGAGGCCTGACCCACAACCCAGGCATGTGCCCTGACCAGGAATCAAACCCAGCGACCTTTCAGTTCCCGGGCCGGCACTCAATCCACTGAGCCAGCCAGCGTTCTATATCAGGGGGTATTATCCAGCTATAAATATGAATGAAGTACAGATACATCCTACATTGACAAACCTTAAAAACATTATGTTAAGTGAAAGAAGTTAGACACAAAAGGCCACGTATTGTATCACTCCGTTTATATTAAATGTCCAGAATTCAAATTCATGTAGACAGGAAATAGTGGTTGCTAAGGGCTGGTGGAGTAGGTAATGGGAAGTGACTGCTAAAGGGTATGGAGTTTTTTTGGGGGGGATGATAAAATGTTCTGGAATAGATAGTGGTGACAGTTTCACAACTTTGTGAATATACCTAAAACCACTGAATTGTTCACTTTAAAATGGTGAGCATTATGGAGTATGAATTATATCAGTAAAATGCAAGGAAAAGACAAAGATAGAATATAAATTAATAAAATAGATAAAGCTAAAATAGAGAAGATTAACAAAGTTCAAAGCTGGCTCTTTGAATAAGCTATTAAACTAGACAAACCTCTGGCAAAACTGATCAAAAAAATAAAGTTAAAATACAAGTAAACAATATAATTAAGGAAAATATGTAACCACAGACTCAGCAGAGATTTAAAAATAATAAGAATCCAACCCTGGCTGGTGTGGCTCAGTGGATTGAGTGCCATCCTGAGAACCAAAGGGTCACCGGTTTGATTGCCGGTCAGGACACATGCTTGGGTTGTGGGCAGGGTCCCCAGTCGGGGGCGTATGAAAGGCAACCACACATTGATGTTTCTCTCCCTCTCTCCCTTCTTTCCCCTCTCTAAAAATAAAAATAAATAAACAGTGGGTGCCACGCAGAGGGGACAGGTAACATGCAGTGTGACACGCAGCTTGCAGCGTGCATGGATTGTCCACCCTTGAATAAAGGCACGTCAGACATCCCAACAGCTCCGTGAATATTCTTCCATGTGTACGAATCCGATGAACCTTTCCGGCCCTGAATGGTCTCAACACACAGCCTCCTAACGACTTTGGGGTTTACTGTACGGTCAGTGGGAAGATACTGCCACGGGTGAAGCAGGAGACGGTTGAGCCATGTCTGCCCTGGGAAATAGCACCCTGGCCGCAGGGCGGTGGGGGACCGGGGAAGGGCGGGGAGTGCCCGCTCGAGCAGGAAGGGCGGTCAGGAAGCTGAGGCTGCCGCTCAGGGAGGGATAAAGAGAGCCTGCTCTGGGCTGGACAGGGTGGACCGAGGTGGCAAAAGGGTGCGGGACCAGAATTCAGCATCTGATTAAGCGTGGGGGAGAGGGAAAGGGAGAAGCCGAGTGGCCCCTGACTCCTGTGTGGGAGGTAGACTTATTCTCTAAGATGGAGAATCCCAGAGGTAGCAGGTTTGGAGGCAGCATGTTGAATTCACTTTTTTAAATTACGAAATACATGATATATACAAAATAATTGATGTCAAATGTACATAAACAATGGAGTGAATAATAAAATAATGCCCCAATTTGAGAAACAGAACATTAGCAACATCACTAAGTTTCCCTATTTCCTCCTTCCATCATATCTGTCTCACACCCCCAAAATACCAAACCCACAATTTTATATTTTTAAATTCATTACTTTTATTTTTCTCAAAAACTCAAATGGTTGTTTTATTATAAATATGCTTAGAGCCCTGGCTGGCGTGGCTCAGTTCATTGCGTCATCCCATAGACTGAAAGTCGTGAGCTCCATTGCTCGTCAGAGCACATGCCCAGGTTGATCCCTGGTCCAGGCGCCTACGAGAAGGAAGCTGGTCGATCTTTCTCTCTCACATTGATGTTTCTCTCTCTCTCTCTCCCTTCCTCTCTCTCTAAAAACAATGAAAAACATGTCCTTGGGTAAGGAAAAAATATATATATATTTATAAGCATATATATTTACATATATACTTATTAAAAATGTGCCAGTTAAAAAATCAAAAGGATTTGCTTGTTTAGTGCAAAACTGACTGCATTCCAGAGACAGCTGCCAATGTCTAGATCCCATCTCAACAACTGGCTCAACAAGAAAAAAAAAAAAGAAGAAGAAAAAGAAAAAACTTGCTCAAACCTTCTGCCCAGCCACTTGTCTCCCCCGTTGCTCTTAAGTGCACACCCCTACTGTTGTAACATGCCCCGTGGGGTCTGTTTCACTGGGCATGGCAACATGAACTTATGGACTCATTGAGATGCTGCAGTTTTTCTTCTCTTATCTGTTAACGGAGTAGATTGCGCAAATTAAATTTCTCATCTCTAACCTTGCACTTTTAGAATAAATCCAACTTGGGCACAGTGTGTTATTTATTTTATACATTACTAGATTCAGTTTACTGATAATGTGCTTAGGATATTTGCATCTATGTTAATGAACCTGTAGTATTTCTTTCCCATGCAGTCCCTATTAGCTTTTGGTGTCAAGCATGCTACCTTTATGACATATATAAAGGAAGTCGGAAGGACTTGTACAAGCGAGCATTATTTGTTCTTTGAGTGTTTGGGTAATCTTACTGGTGGAGCCGGATAGGCCTGGAGTTTCCTTTGCAATGAGATTTTGTGTACTGATTCAATTTGTTTAATATTATAGGACTAACCAGGATTTCTATTTCTACTCATTTTAATTTTGCTGAGTTTTATTTCTCTATAGGGACTTGTCTATTTTCATATAAACTTAAATATAAATATATAAAATTAATACATATTTTATATATAAAGTTGGCGTAA